ACCTGAAATCCAAGTTAGTATTTTTATATTATTGCTGTGCCTTTAAATACATATCCATAGCCCATCATTATCTGTTCACATGGTGGTACACAAAATACAGTATTGCGATGACGTTCATACTTCATGCTTAAATCAATAAAGAAGCACTACCAGGCTAGGTAATAAAGTCAACAAATGCTCAGTATGTTTTCAACTGATGCATTTTCCAGAGGCACAGAAATGTATAAAGGATGGTATCTGCCACACTTTGAGGAAAAGAACTTCAGAATCATAGTGTCACAACTAATCCTTCAGTTTGCTAACAGATGTACCTGTACGGGTGACATTGTCAGGACAAGCAGGAGATCAGAGTCAATATATCTCAATAAATTGGCTGGTTGAAAGGACAGAAGGTTATATCTTGTGCTACACTGCATCCACGTTGGAATATGTCATCTGTTATATTTTGCTTCAATGCAGGTTAAAGAGATACTTAATGATGGCATAGGCCACAACCTTAGTAATAATTTAAGGTTATTGCATGTGCACTTAAGTTCCAGACAGCCTTGGGTAGAAAGTAATGGGAATGGAAAGATTGCAGTCAGAAGTAGTGAGTGAAAAATCTTACCTTTGCTCAGCTGTGGAAGATAGAGATGAGGAGAATGATTGAATGAAGCTAGATTTTCAGACCTCTCTAAGTGAGCCTACCCAGAGTAGGGATGAAGATTCAGTGTTATGTGTGGCTGTACCTCTACTGTGAGAATGACCTTTGTATGTCCTTCTCCAGCCATACAAAAAATAAAAGCAAAATTGGGACCAGTGGAATGTATTTCTGTTTACCAGATAAGCTGTGAGGTTGAGATATTTCTGTTCTCATCACTCATGGATTCCATACTTTACTACTAACAACAACACAATAACAACAATGCTCACTGTGCATTTCGATTCATTTGAACATCAAAGCAGAAGCTGATTGAAATGTTTGAATAGTGCAGCTTTTGCTTTTGGTCTTATTCCAAAAGAAATGCTGGACCCAAGATGAATTAGGAGCCCATAGTGGGTTCTCCTCAATCCTGACCCTGTTAGAGTCTCAATCAATGGCAGGTTGTCAACATGGCATCAGGATTCTGGAATCTGGAATGGAGGGAAATCAAAGCATCCTGACACAGGATGAGAGGAGCGATAGTATTACAGACTGCTTTAGAAACTTTGGAGCAAATCTTGTGTAGATAATCAGCAACTCACACATACACCTCAAGAAGTTCCTGAGAGGGGTTTTGATTGAAGGCTATTCCATTAGAAAACCTGTTGACCTGAGAAATGATCCCAGTAATGCTGAGGTCTCCGGACTGATAGTACTTGTGAAGATTAGGATTGCTTGATAAGGTGTTGGTTATGACCTATAAAGCCCTAAACGGCTTGGGTCCTGGTTACCTGAAGGAGTGCTTACATGCATATATGCCCGGCCGCCCCTTGAGATCGGTGGGAGAGGCCCTTCTCTGGGAACCCTCTGTGAAAGAAATTAGGGGGTGGGTACTCGGAGGAGGGCTTTCTCTGTGGTGGTGCCTAAGTTATGGAATGCGCTCCCCAGAGAGGTCTGCCTGGTGCCATCGTTATTTGTTTTTCAGCGCCAGGCGAAGACCTTTTTATTTAAGTGGCATTTTAACTGTTAATATTATTGGATTTTATCTGGCCAGGGAGGCTTATTTTATATTGCATTTTTGTATTTTTAATCTAATATTTATATTTTTAATTTAATATTATAATTATTTTTTAATTTATTGTTGTGAGCCACCCCGAGGCTTCGGCAAATGGGGTGGCATAAAAATGTTTTAATAAATAAATAAAAAATAAATTGCTGAGATGACACTTGATGGCGGGATCCTTGCAGACCACCTGAGGAAGCAATGCTAATAATGGCACCATGAATGCAGGCATCTTGCATAAAAAATGTTGTTCACTAGAGTAACTCATCTATGGCCACACTGCCATTTCAGCATTGCACAGATGTACAGCATGACATGATGCAATGCAGCATATAAGTGATGAAGCAAAGGAAGCCTTCCCTATCTCTTGTGCTGCTCTCAGTGGCACCTGAGGTGGCAATATGGAAGTTCAGTCCTGCTTGAAACCTTTATTGTTAACAAGTGAAAGATTTCCCATACTTTCTCCCCTGATTCCATGGGGACCTGAGGAGCAAGTATGGGCAATCTTGCTTTAATTAGTATTTGATAATTATAGGGCAACCTGTTGCATCTTCAAATTATTGTTTCTTTGTCACAGTTAGAAAGAACATGTGTACTGTATGTACAGCAGAAATGGTATCTGGCCCACTGCAGTGAGACAAAAGGTGATCCAAAGCTAGAAAAGCACTCCAGAGAAAACATGACTTTTTTTTACTTCAAAAAAATACAGAAATCCAATGAGTTTGAGATATATTTTCAGAGGTAGCATGCAGTTGCATGAGATACAAAATTGGAACACTTCAAAGACCAAGACCTCCTTTGGCCCTGAGTAACCAACCCAATTTACACCTTTATATGTCATTTTCTCAATATCAGAAGTCTACTATTTATACCCCTTGATTCTAAACTTTAGAATAGAGCATGCTGGTCATTCCATGACCAGCCAAATGTCACTGCCCTATATATCAAAAGAATTCATCCAGTGAAATCAGCAAGCCTATTCATAGGAGTGACTAAAATGGAGTTGAAGAAGTGCTCTGGCAGGTCAAAGGCATTGAATTTATGTATGTATATATTAAAAGCTTTTGTATGCCATCCTATTATTCAAATTCTCAGGACGGCTTACAATATTCAATGAATCAATGAATCAAAATAAGATTGACATATTGATTACCTGGCAAGATGGAAACCCTGAGAAACCCTGGAAACAGCTGGGAATCAGAGAAAGAATGGGGTGGGATGAAGGAATGATCCTGTTGTAAGATAATGTAATGAGGATTGGGCAATTGTTGCAGTGCATAGCAACCCAAGCTGCAGTGTACTCCAATGATTTCCAGAGGCCTGGCCAAGAGGTCTTTGATCCCCAAAGGCTTTTCATAAGACAAGAAGTTTATATCTTTTGGAATGCATAAATCCCATCTGTCATTTGGATAATGAAATTCTGGACACTGAGAACAGCCATCCATGTCTGAAAAGAAAACCTGGGTTACTATATATGCCAGCCCTGTGTTGTGTTAATTAGCTTTTACCAATGGAGATGAAAACTGATTTATACATTGCCAGACCTCTTAAATTATGAGGTTTCCTAATAAGATGAATTAAAAAGTTAAAACATTCTGCTTTCTGTTTTATGAACAGGCAGAGCCCCTACCTTTGTGTAATTCCTATTGCTCTGAAGGTTCTAGCAGAAAAGGAAGGAAGGGTAGCTATTTTGTTGCTATGATTGCCTTCCATGTCCAGGCATTTAGTTTCACAAACATCAAAGCTGAGTTTTTCAGCAACTCAACCACAGGAGGAAAGGTGAGCCATGGCTATTTTTTGTGCTTTGTGAACTTTATGAACAGCCATTGAATGTGGTTACTCCATGGATATTTCCTTTCTTAGGTGGGATCTTCAGAATATTTGCCATGAGGAAATTAATTCCTAGAAGAAAATGACTGTCTTATATTTATTTTTTTAAGTAGCAAAGCTGTTTTCTATCCATTTAGAGTTCAACATCTTTGAGTCTCTCAAAAATACATAGGAATCTTAGTTATGAATATGCTACATCTTGTTGCACTTGGACTTGTTCATGTTCGGTTGCAGTTGGAATGAGAACATATGAAGATTATGATCATGGCAATGGTGGGGATGATAATTTAGAGAATGCAATCTGGGTGGCTTATAGTATAAATGATAATATTATCGTAAAGCATAGCAAATTGATAACTCAGGAAGGCTGAAATGAAAAACAATAATGTTCAACACTATGGTTACATATAACTTATAGTCCTTTTACAAATGAAATCACATGTAACCCCTTGACAAATAGCTACAGAGTTTCCTTAGGGAGAATATTTTCCAAGCAGGTCATTGTGATTTTCTGTCACCACATTTCATACTTAGGAGAAATAGAATCTCTGTAGGTGATTGAAAGCTTTGAATGTTTCAAGACAAATTGATCAAAGCTTTAATACTTTCTTGTTCTTAGCTGCTTTCTGCTGTTCAGTTCAGGCCTCAGCACAATGATAAAGCATTTGGGGAAAAAGATACACCCCAACAACCCAGCACTAGAGGCCAAGATGGAGAAGATCTCCACAGCCACCATGTGCTTTCCTTTAGTGCCCAGGTATGTTGGAACAAAGGACAGCCAAACACTGCAGAAAACCAGCATGCTGAAGGTGATGAACTTGGCTTCATTGAAACTGTCTGGCAACTTTCTGCCTAGGAAAGCCACAGAGAAGCTGATAATGGCCAGGATACCCATAAAGCCCAAGACACAATAGAACATGAGGGTTGATCCTTCATTACACTGCAGTACAATTTCTGTATTCATGGAGTGCATGTCAAGAGCTGGGAATGGGTGGGAGGTTGCCAGCCACACAGTACAAATAGCAGCCTGAATGAGACAGCAGGAAATAACAATGAAGGATGCCAACTTATTCCCTGTCCACTTCCTCATGCTGGACCCTGGCTTGGTGGCCATGAAAGCCAGAACCACAATTATGGTTTTGGCCAACACACATGAAACTGCCACTGAGAAGATAATGCCAAAAGCTGGCTGCCGAAGTAGACACATTACCTCATCAGGTCTCCCAATAAATAACAAGGGACAAAGAAAGGAAAGCAGTAAGGAAATGAGGAGAAGGTAGCTGAGGTTTTGGTTATTGGCTTTTACTATTGGAGTGTCCTGATGCTTAATGAAGATTCCAACCACCAGAGCTGTGATAAAAGAAAAGGTAAGAGCAAAACTGGCCAAAATATTCCCCAAAGGTTCTTCATAAGACAAGAATGTTACAATCTTTGGAATGCATGAATCCTGGGCAGCATTTGGATGATGATCTTCTGAACATGGAGAACAGTCATCCATGTCTGAAAAGAAAACATGGCAGATGACTTATCAAGTCTCAGTGTTGCACAGATCAGAACTCACAGCCAAAAACTGACATATATGCTTATAAACTTTACAAATTATTTTGTAGATGAAAAATATTTATGGTTATAAGATGTCATACTCAAGGAGGGATGGAAAGAAAATCAAGTCTTGAGAAATCTGTGACCAAAGGAAATAAAAAGCTATCATTTGTTGTGTGTTCCATTCTTGGCTCTTAGCTAATTTTACATCAAGATAGAACATGTTATAACCTGTTGGTGTCCCACTCAAAAAAGGCATTATATATAATATCCCACAACAGTGTTTAGATTAGCCTATAATCTATCAGCATCACTATAAACTACTTCCACTGAATTGTGTTTTAAATATGAAGGAAGTGGGTATCTAATGTGAATTCTAATGTGAATGTGATAGATGACAACCCATATATTACAAAAAACTAAACCCTCTAAGAATGAGATCTCTTACCTTCATGACTGGAAATCTTTCCTTCTGGGCATGGGTGGCAGTCATAGCAGCAAAATGGCCTCCCGTCCTTCTTTTTCCTGCTAAAACCTTCATAGCACTTGTCATTGCACAAAGACAGTGGCTGTGTCTATTTAAATGGACAAGGAGAATGCTATCACCATTTAAAAAGCAACATTTTGGTAGTTACTTTTGGAGGGACAGAATTGTCATCTGAGCTTGTATTTTGTTATGGAGAGATGTTATAGGGCTATTTGTGATTGCTGGAATCTAAAAGTCAAAAAAGTAGGCAGCCGGTAAGTCTACAAAGCCAAGGAAGGGACAGGAAATTCTGCCACAAGTCAGGACTCCTCCTGAGTGAAGAAATACTGATATGAAGACAGGTTTCTAAAATTCAGACGTGTTAAGAATAGTATGAGAATAACATGTGATATAGAATTTAGGACAAAAGTGAGGCCCCTTGTAAGGTCAATTACAAAAACATTAATTTGTCAGGCTGAATGGCTGGGAGTGGAATAAAATGATCAAAAGAGAATGACCCCATTCACACAACATGTCCACTGTAGTAGTAGCTGTAATGTTGCAGCTGGCATCATGGGTGTCATTTTTGTATGGTGGCTGCAAGCCACTGCCTTGCTGTGAGTTAAACATGGTTTGCTTTAGGTTTATTTGGGGCTTCTCTAAAGGTTACTCTGCACTGTGCATTCATGATTCAGAAGTTTTTGGGACCTTCCACCTCAGGACCGTTCTTTCTTTCCAGACATTTTGGTGGGAAAGCCAGCTGTTCCAATCAGCTACTAACATTTAAATTCGAATAAGCTGAAACAAAAGTGAAATGAAAGTTCACAAATGTGCTATATGAAATAGATACTGCAGCAGCATTTTGTGTTTGGTTAACAGGAGATATAGGAAGGCAGATAAATCCCAATGGAAAAATGTGTAAAGGATGCATATTTTCTCCCAGAACAGAAAACAAAAAAAAAAAAAAAAAAAAGAAGGTTCAGTGAAACCTTGGGTTAAGTCTCTCATGTAGAGAAACACTAACTCTCAAACAACCCATGCTATCTGGGTTCACACAGCATAACAAGCCACAGAAAGAAGGATATCTGCAGGTACCATATGGATATGATGCCCATGGTACCATTGCTTGAGGTAAGAAACCCATGAGTAAAATCAACCCTGGTTCACTGTTGTGCTGGGCAAACCAAGCCAGTAAAATTCAGGAATCTGCTGGAGAGTAGCTGAGAACCCTGGCAGGACCTACCTGGTTAAAACTGCTGGGCCAGGTAATGGAATCCTCATGAATACTGAAGACATTGTCTGGGGTAGCCCTGGGGTTGATCCCCCCAACTCTGATTCTGAGGAAGGACTGGTTGGGGAATGTGATCCAGTTGATAATATCAAATGCAGCTATCAACTCCCCATTCTTGTCAAAAGAAATCTTATCCCCAGCAGTGTTGTTGAAAGAGATGCTTCTGAGAAAGTTGTGGAGCTAAAGAGGAAGGAGAACAAGTTCTCTATAAAGATGTGCAAGACCATGCAAGTAAATAATGGGGCAATGATCCCAGGGGTCTGATGTTCTGGCTGATTAGCTTTCTTCAGAGTAGCCAGTGTGGAGGAGTGGTGAGTGTCCAGGGACGTACAAGATCCAGGCTCTGATGCCCACTCCACCATAAAATTTGCTGGATGACTTTGGACTAGCCACTCCCTTTCAGCTTAACCTTCCTCATGGGGTTGTTGTGAAGATAAAATGGTAGTATGTGAGCTGCCTTAAGTGAAAAAGGTGGGATATAAATGCAATGCAATCACAAAAGAATAGTAGTAATATTTAGTCAGTACTACATAGGCACTTGTGATGCTATATTGTGACTGTCCAGGATTGTTTACAGAGCAATGCAAGGAGTAATAGACACATGAGGAAAAATCAAAGTAAGATCCTAAGGAAGTTAGTCTACCAGACATGAGATCCAAAGAGAAAGAAGATGAAAAATCCCTGCAATACCAGTCTTTCAAAGTGCCATTCGTAATTTGGACAACTGCTTCAGTGCAGGTGGAGTTCCACTCTTTGTGTCCATGCTGTGCCATGAACACAAACACACGCGTTTGTGTACAGATGCACACATGAATGGCTGCCATATTAAAGTCAAGAAAGCAGGGAATACACCTATAGGGCAGGAGTGGATGAAAAGAAGTTATTTATTCTTCATGGTAGTGAGACTTGCTTTTTTGCCTATGGAGTTGCAGGCCTGGCATATTTATCAGATCCCTCATGAGTGGTATGTGAGAACATTATAGCTCTGGTTGTCAGTAGCGGTGTTTCCAGTGATGCTTAACTAGGAGAGCCTATTGTTATTTCTGTCTTTTTGTGATATTTTCCAGGTACAAGTTTTTCCTCTCCTCAGTTAAGCATGTGTTTGTTTGGACCCAGATTAAGTCATAACTAGAGTAGAACTATTGAGATCAATGGGAGTTCATTCCTTAATTGTCTCACAGATTCCACTGGCTGTGCTCCAAGCATTATTAAATCTAGATCCAACCCTTTGGACAAGGCAGCCATTCCTCTGGTACAGCAGGGGCACAACTCAAGACTTGGTGTACTGTGATTAAAGGTTTCTTGGTAAGTCCTTCATGGTCTAATCATGAGTAGGTCCATCAGCAGTCCGGCATTAAGATAAAACCTGCCACAAACTTATTACTTGGAACCTCTAACTCTTGGAATGGATTTAAGAAAATTCACACAGTTCTACATATTCAAGACAAGAAGAATTAAATTTGAAAGAAGAATGAAACATTGGAGAAACAAACAAGGATCAAACTGTCCATTCAAGCCTATGACTTTCAGGGCACTGCTCATAAAAGTCCATATTTGAATGGTACTACTGAATTAGGGTAGCCACTTATTCTGTTTTCTTGAAGAATTCCTTGTCTTCGACATTTCTCAGCCAATCATGTTCCTTTCTTTGTTGGGAATATCTGCATCTATGGCTTATTGTTGGTGCAGAAGGAAGTGATTTGACTTCCATTCTGATAATTAGGTAGCTAGGTAGGTAGGTAGATGGATGGATGGGGTTCTCAACATTCACAGATTTCTTCTGATTCAAGAGAGAGTAAAAGCTGAGTTTTTGAAATATTGAATGCAGGAGAAAGCAAATTACAGAGAGACAACCATTCATACCCACCAACCACTTGTTTATATAGACAGGTTCTATGAGATGTAGGAACTGTGTTGTAACCCCCCTCTTAATCGAACATGCAGCCAGGGCATGGCTCGTCATGGGTAAAAAGCATGATCAGGGTGTCCTGTTCGTGTGAGAACAAGAACCCCAACGAATGTGCACACTACGCAAGGCTGACAACAAAGCAGGCTACGCTCCAGCATAACTGCAGACATTACGCCCTTGTACCCTCGCTTGCTTTAGCATGAAAAAATGTGCAAATGTGGCTCAGTGGGTTTCCCCTATTGTTCGCTGTTATTCAAGCACCTGCATAGCCGTCCGCTGTAAAAGAGTATAGAAACTCTGCTTTCCTTCTGCTCGAGACCGCACTCTAACAAGTGTTGGTCCCTGCAGGTAATAAAACTCCTCTCGAAAATTCCAACTGGTCTCTGGTCTCATCAGTAAAACCGCGGGACACAACATGGTTACTTTTCTGTGGCATTACCTGCCATGATTCTACATTCTGAATCTTCGGCCTCCTTCTCCCCTTCAGTTTCAATTGCTTGGATTTGGATGCCTGCATGGACTGCAAAGCATGTGCAATTGCATAGACAGCATTGTAGATGCTGTAGCTGTGGCTGGTCATGCTCATTTCAAAAATGGATGCAGGAAGAGACTCAAGCTTCTCTTGCCCAGTGCAGGGTTTCTCAGACTCCTTAGGAATTGCAGAGCTGGGGAGTGAGCAACTAAATGATTGCTCCCAGAAATCCTTTATAAAGCCATCTTGATTTCCTGAAGAAGGATTCCTGGACTGAAGAAATTTGTGGAATCTCACCACCTTCTTTGTGTGAATTGCAAAAGATAGTGCACCATGGAGGAAACCAATATCCCATGGCCTTTGGAAGGGAACAGAAGTGAAATCAATTTCAGCTGTCATAATCCAGATTTTGGACTTCTTTGGTACATCCTCCACTTGTGAAAACTGGAGCAACATTCGCAAAATTAACATGGTCTGAAGTTCCCCATATATGACGATTGCATTAGCTATGCTTTTCATGACAACTGCATATGTTTTGGGTGCTTCATCCATCACATCAACGAAGTCAGTATAAAAATTCACTATTGGAAATCTTTCTATGAAGTCAAAGCAGATACCCTGATGGGAAAATGTGGGAAGCACGTCATGTACAAACCTCTCTCCATTGTCATCATTCACAGAAAGAACTCCTACCCACGTCCACTTAAAGTGCAGCAGTAACTGGAGAATGCCTTTCTGTTGATGTACCCCATTTGGAAACATAGGTTGGAAGAAAACAGCATGGGTTGCAATATTCATTTCTGGAGCAGAACCAAATGTGAGCTAAGGACAACAAAGAAACAAGAAAATAAAAATTATGAGTTGTATGCATGCATGTGTTGAATTGGGATGAATTATTAGAAGTAAAAATAACAAAACTGAAGCTGTTACACTTTGGCACATCATGAGAAGGCAAGATTCCCTGGAGAAGACAATCATGCTATGAGAAGTCAAAGGCAGAAAAAGAAAAGGATGACCACATATGAGATGGATTAAATCCATAAAGGACCCCACAGCCTTGAATTTACAACAGATGAGCAGGGCTGTCATGGATAGGACATTTGGAGTGCTTCCATTCATACGTTGGAGACAACTTGACAATGTGGTCTGCACAAAAAAAGTAGGGAATTTTGTGGGTATCTTTTCAAAATACAGGCCTTTTATTCAGTTTCCAAATTGCTACCATATCAGTTATCCATGCATGGGTGTTCCAATTGCTGCAACATGTGACAGCTGCATTTCTAACTGGTCACAGTATCAGAACCATGCTGCATCTCTGCTGAAAGATGTGCCATAGTTTTCAGTTGCTTTCTAGACTCAATTGAAAGATTTAATAACTATTTTACTATTGCAATGTTCTTATTATCACCATTTTAGGTTGTTACAAACTACTGTCCTGCCTTTAGAACTGAGAGGTGCTATATTATTCATATAATAATAGAAAAGAAGAGTGGGAAGGGGCCAAGAAGGTAATTGGGTCTAACCCCCACAGCCACAAGTTTACACCATCCCACTCAAATGACTGAACAGTTTCTCCTTGAATGCCTGTAGTGTAGGAAAGCCCACAACCTCTGTTGTCAATTATTTCCACTGTTCTATTTTTCTGACAGTGAGGAAACTTTTTCTGATATTTATTTATTTTTATTTATTTATTAAAAGCTTTTCTAACCTGTACACCACTAGTGTCTTGGAACAGCTTACAATGAAAAATCAATAAGGTAACAAAGCAATAAGATTAAGAAAGCCTGCACGTGGGTTTTCACAACTTGAGTCAATTATTCTGTATCCTACACTCTGGAATCAACAAGACGATATCTTGACTTTCCTTTTTCTGACAGCCTTTGAGGTACTTATAGAGTGATACCATGTCCCCCTCAGTCTTCCCTTCTCAAGACTGAACATGCCCAGTTCTCTCTTCACAGGGCAGTGTTTCCAAACCCTGGATCATTTTTGTTGCCCTCCTCTATGTTTTCTAATGTTGCTGTGTTTTCTTAAATATAGGTGCCCAGAAAAAAACACAGCATTCTAGAGAGTCACTAGTACTTCCTGTGATTGTCAATAATAATGTCAATAAAAATTCCAGGAATGCTTAATATTGCTAAAGAATTTCTGAGGAAACATGCAGGTCCAACTCAGTTCTTTTTGCTGGCATTATGCACAAAAATGTACTAATATTCATGAACCATTTTGTCCCACAAGCATTAGGATTATTTCTCTTAAGCATCATTCAAGGTATGCCTCTTTAATTCAATCAAATCATTTCCAATCTGAAAGGTGCAGGCTACATTATGAGATGCAAAGAAATCACTGTAGGTTTGAATTCAATTAGGAAATTTGCTTGCTCCATACATCTTACCTGTGGAATTTTGTAGATGCACAGTATGTTTGCCATGTGGAAACAAATGTCAGGTCCTCCAATAGCTGCTACTGGGTTGCTCTCAAAGCTACACTTAAAGTTAGGGATGAATCTGCCCCATGTGGAGAGAAGTTCCATTGAGGCCAGGTAGGTCCAGCTCGGACTGAAATGGCTGTTGTAGATATGGAAGCCCAGGGTGAGGTTGGGTAAGAGCTGGCTGTTTTCATTTATCTCATTCACAGCAAAAACCAAGGCCAGGATATGCTGGTAGCTCTGAGTCAAGACTCTGTAGCAAAATGCATTACTCATTACTGATCTGTGTTTGCAATATTTGTATCCTGTCCTTCATTATCAAAACATGGGGGAATGTACAGAATGGTTAAAATATGGATTAAACTAAAACTAAGATCATAGCAGCAAAGAAATCATGCCAGGTTAGGTAGTACTATCAGAATGTTGGGGACAGAGATATGTTTCAAAAGGCAGCAGAGATATGTTTTCAAAAAACAGATGTACCTGGTGCAGCAACAATGACAGAATAACCAGCAGGTCCTTTTGGACTCAGTGAATAGGCAGAGCAATACGTAAAAAGATTCTCTACTCGGAATATAACATCTGCTACATTGCAGTTCAATTCTAGTTTAATTGTATTCCATTGAAAAAGAATATTTGACCTTACTCTAGGGAAGTGCAAAATAATATTGACTTTTTTTTTTTTTACTTCTTTGGACACCAAGAAAATAATGACACATCTTTGAGACCTAGTGAATGAATGCACAATGTCCCTGACCAGCTTCAAAACATTTGGTTGCAGCAAGAGAGGTAGTTGCATTTTAACCCATGGATAACTACATCTGTAGATTTTAGTGGAAATGAATGCACAACTAACTTAATCTTGGTCCACTTCCAACCCATCTAGGCCAGAGTCTCATCCAATTTACTTTATAGCTAGAACAAGCCAGATAAGGATCGCAAAGAGCTGGACATCATTTCATTCCATGATTCTCAGGACATAGCCCTGAGTCAGAATGCTGAAATTTGGTACTGACATGGATCAGTAAATCCTGTTTCTTGGTCTGGGTTTTATTGCTAAACCCTTTTTCAGTTATTTTGAGAATTGTGTGATTAAAAATACTGCATGTTCTTTGTTGATGTGATACTGTAATGGCAGCCCAGAGAGCATGTTTCTAATGGGAGGCTTTTAAATGAATTGAATGAATGAATGAACAACTTGCAAAAGAATATCAAGCAGCTCCTCAGAGGGGTGTTTATAGAAGGTCATCGGACTGGAAAACCTGTAGACTTGGGAAATAATGCCAGCAATGCTGAGGTCTCCGGACTGGTAATACTTGTGAAGAATAGGAAGAGGCTCACAGGCGCAGCACTTCAAGACAGGACTGCTGCAGACCACTGGAGCTACCAACATTAACAAAGACACCATGAGAAACATCATCATGCATATTACTATGCCTTTTGCTTAGCAACAGTTCCATTCACACTTTGCCCTTTTAGTTTTCCTGAGAAAACAGTATAGTGGGACTCATTCAGCTGGTTGAAAAGCAGGATTGTCACTATAATGTATCAGTGATCAAATGGATAAAGCCTTCTTTCTCTCTCTCTCTCTCTCTCTCTCTCAGATTCACTCTGAATCGTACTGAGGATATTAATCAGTATGATCAGTACCTTAAGCTTGAGCCATACTTTTGTCACTGGCAACTGTGCTTCCCCATGGATTTGGAGAAGAAATGTAGCTAAACATAGTTAATTTGATAATTACATGGGTGACAATTACATATTTAGGATGTTTCTTTGTCATAGTACAGGAGAGAAAAAAAAGTATTACCACTTCATAAAAAAGGTCCCTAGTCCACCACAGTGAGATAGGATGGTTTGACCTACAGAAGGAGAAGGTATTAAAGTAAATCTTAAGAACACAGAATAAGTTTGCAAACTTTGTATCCATACAGACTGAATACAATTTTGCACAAGATTCAAACTGGAATTTTTCAATGTCCAAAGGCCTGATTTCCATGGAGTATTTAAAAATGTAAAAATCTTTTCAGGTCAGAAATCTGCACTCTTCATTCCTAATTCCAGAAAAAGTCATCTTAAACATGTATACCCTTCCAGGCTGATTTTTTCCCCTAACGTGCACAAAAACATCATCCTCCACATAGATGGTGCCCTCACCTTCTACCTTAAGGAAAGTGTATAGGAAAATGGTGTGTGTGTGTGTGTGTTTAATCTGGTCTCAATGGGGATACACTCCCTCTAAAGGAACAGAACCATAGTTCAAGGGTACTTCTGGATTCATCCTTGCCTCCTGAGAGGCAGGTGTCCTCAATGAGTCAGAAAACTCATCAATCATTTGGCACAACAATGGTTCCCATCCCTAGATAGGGCTAGTTTAGCTACTGGGGCTTACCCACTGCTAGCCTCAGGAATAGATTATTGCAATATGGTCTGGGAGAGGCCACACCTGCACCTGGTTGAAAAGTTGTAGCTACTGCAGACTGCAACAGTGGGGTGCTCAGTACAGCACCAAGCCTTGTATATCTTAAACAAAAAGTGCAAAGAAGAGAACTGGCAGCTTCTTAACTGCATAGCCATGATCAAAACTACATTGCGGCCTGTAGAAGAATAACATAAGACCATCTTCTATACCAATCAATATTTAAAGGGTTCAGCAGACACATTCCTCAATACCTCAAGACCAAAAGATGCTGAGTGCATCACACTTTCAAAGTCTCATTCACTGCACATGTTTGGTTGCATGCTCCCCATTGTGGTCCAGAGGCAGGATATTTAATGTGCTTCAAAGTCTTAAAAAAATTCCTGTCTGCACATATTTTCTGGCTGGTAGCTGGCCATCATAAGATCAACCCACTTTGCTCTTTTCATGGTGTTAGTTCTGTTTATTTAGCACTGTTATTGTAGCTGTACTTCTTTATCAGTAAACTTAAAAAAGAGAGAAACAGGGGAGTGTAAACTTTCATAAACAAATCCCTGAAGTTGTGTTTAAGAATGCTAAATGTATAGTTCTGTGCAGTGATATACTGGGCATATTCAAAAATAAATGAAAGGAACTAAAGAGAATGAAAAAGGATATTTCCCTCACTTTAGTTTCTTCATTAACTGCTCCTTGCTGTTCAGTTCAGGTCTCAACATAATAATATAACATGTGGGAGAAAAGATGCAAACCAGCAATCCAGCACTGGATGCCAAGATGGAGAAGATCTCCACAACCACCATGTATTTTCCACTTGTGCTCAGATAGGTTGGGAAAAAGGTCAGCCAAACACTGCAGAAGACCAGCATGCTGAAGGTGATACATTTAGCTTCATTGAAACTGTCAGGTATCTTTCTGGCTAGGAAGGCCACCATGAAACTGACAATGGCCAGGAAGCCCATGTAACCCAGGACAGAGTAGAACAACATGACTGAACCTTCATTACATTCCAATATAATTTCTTTACTCAAGGAATGTGTGTCCAAATCTGGGAATGGGGGAGCAGTGGACAACCATGCTGTACAAAGAATGGTCTGAACCAGAGAGCAGGAAAAGGCAATGGAAAGAGCTAGCTCTTTCCCCATCCATTTCCTCATTCTAGATCCTGGCTTGGTGGCCATAAAGGCAAGGATGACAGTAATTGTTTTTGCCAACACACAAGAAATGGCAACTGAGAAGATGATGGCAAAAGCAGTTTGTCGAAGGAGACAGGTCAGCTTGTTAGGCTGGCCAATGAAGAGAAAAGCACAAAGGAAGGAGAGCAGAAGTGAAACCAGAAGAGTGAAGGTGAGGGTCCAGTTGTTGGCTTTGACAATGGGAGTGTGTTTGTGCTTGCAGAAGATCCTGATTATCAAAGCTGTGAGAAAAGAAAAGGAAAGAGCAAAAGTGGCCAGACTTGTTCCCAGAGGTTCTGCATAAGACAGGAAGCTTGTGGCCTTGGGAATGCATGATTTCTTATGTTGGTTTGGATAATGGTCTTTGGGGCACTGGAAACATTCATTCATGTCTGAAAAAGAAAATAAAAGATAGTGGTTCTTTTCTGTTACACATATGATTGTTTCTGGCTCTTCCATTAGAAAAACAACTAAGAATGATGCAATGAAAAGTCATTTCCATTACATTTTATATATTACATTTAACATGTGCAGCTAAAATGTAGGAAAAATAAATTACATAGGGTTGGGAGATCAGGTGGGGGAACTTGTACAAAGTATGCTAGAAGCAACACAAAGAGGAAAGGAACCTTCAGGACAGTCAAATATTTCACATATCTAAAAGTGTACCTGCAAAGGAAGACCTTTCAGGACAGGGATATTAGCATTTCTAAGGACTAAGTGGGAAGCAAGACATGTAACATGGATTCCTTATCAGATCAGGAATCCCATCATAAGTCTAAAGTTATTCTTTCAGTTGAGAAGGAAGGACTCACTGCAGAAGAGCCTAATGCTGGGAACAATAGATGGCAAAAGAAGAAGGAGACAGCAGAGAATGAGGTGGCTGGATGGAGTCACTGAAGCAGTTGGTGTGAGCTTAAGTGGACTCTGGGGGATGGTGGAGGACAGGAAGGCCTGCAGGAATGTTGTCCATGGGGTCATGATGGGTCGGACATGACTTTGTAACTAACAACAACAATTCTTTCAGTGTCAGATCTTTTAGAAGCCTTTTTAGCATCAGATCATGGCAAACTATTCACTCATTTTGTCCTGACAAAAGCAATAACAGCTTGAAGGATACACACAATCACTTGCTTTGCATTCTGTCCTTGGATATTACAAACCATGAGTTATCACTGGCTTCCTCTCCAAATAGGTTATAACAGATGTTTTGTTGTTCCAATTAAAGGGTTGCTAAGTATAAGAATATACACCCATCAGGGTTTCTCCAGCTTGTAATGTATCATCAGCAACTTCTGAACAAGCTGAACTGCAGCGAGTATCTGTGGAAAAACTCTGAGAATGGGATGTCTTACCCTTCCGGTTGGAAATCTTCCCTTCTGGGCATGGGAGGCAATCATAGCAGCAGAACGGCTTTCCTTCCTTCCCTTTCCTGCTAAAGCCTTCATCACACTTGTTATTACACAAAGAAAGGGGTTGCTAATGTACCAAAAAGAGCAAGCAGAATATGTAAACATTTTTAAGCCTCGTATTTTGGAAGTTCAGATGTTGCAGATTAAAAATGTCTTTCGTGGCAACCATTATGTAACGTGACTCCATCACTTTCAAAGGAGCAATGACATGTGATGACTCTGTTATGTGAGAGAGTGGTGTAATGTTACAAGCATGGGACTGGGATTCAGGTGGTCAGGTTAAAGTTCCCATTCAGTCATAGAGCCAACTGGGTGGCTTTGGGTCAGGTACAGCCTCCCAGATGAACCTACCGCACAAGGTTCTTCTTGTGGGTATACGATTAAGATTTCCCACCTTCATAGGGCCATTCTTTCTGTGTCAGCTGAGGTCAGGTTCCCAGCCCCCAGCTCAGGACACTGTCTACAACCTCAGATCTGGGAGTCTGAAAAGTCTTATTCCCTTTCAGGCTGCCTAGTTGTTCCAGGGATGCTCCCTTAGCTGATATCCAACTGTGCTCAGTTCACAGCTTTAAGGCATATTAAAATATCTTGCTAGTTGGAACATATTCAGTCATACTTTGCTAGAACTATCTTTCATTTATTGCCATCTATTGGTATTCAATGGTTATAGCATTTTTTTCTTGTTCTTTTAAAATGATGTTTTACATTGACTCCCTTTTCTGCTTCATAGGTTGCTTCAGTATTTCGAAAATGTATTTAACTTATAATTGTTTCCTCTGTGAAGTTAGAATCAAAGTTCAATCCTATCTGCATCAGGGTTTATCCAGAGCCACTGTGTTGTAGTGGTTAAGAGCATGGGATGGGGAGGTTTCTGGGTTCTAGTCCCCACTCGGCCAAGGAGACAAATGTGTGGCTTTGGGCTGGTCACAGACTCTCAGCCCAACCTACCTCATAGGGCTGTTGCTGTGGGGATAAGATGGAGAGCAAGAGGAGAAGAATGATACAAGCTGCTTTGAGTTCTTAAAAAGAGAAAAAAAGGCAAGAAATAAACACAATAAACAAAAAATAAATAAATGAATCCTTAGTAAGTGCTTAATCTTTATTATCGTAAGCAGTCCAGGGACAATTTTCATGTGTAGAAATACTTTAAATAAATAAATGTTTTCAAGATTGCAGGCAAGTTTGGTCCAGAAGAGATAAATGTTCCTGAATTGTGAAACTTCTGTGAATATTTTAAAATCAATGGATATTTGTGTGTGCATGCACATAGGTCCTACCCGATTAAAATTGCTAGGCCAGGTGATGGAATCCTCAGAAATCCTGAAGAATTTGCCAGGGGTAGACCTGGGGTCAACTCCTCCAACTTTGACTCGGAGAAAGGACTGGTTGGGGAATGTGATCCAATTGATAACATCAAATCCAGCTATCAACTCCCCATTCTTGTCAAAGGAAATCTTATCCCCTGCAGTGTTGTTGAAGCAGACACTTCTGAGAAAGTGGTGAAGCTAAAGAAGAAGGAAAGAAGGAAGGAAGGAAGGAAGGAAGGAAGGAAGGAAGGAAGGAAGGAAGAGACTTTCTTAATGTTTGAAATATCTGTGTAAGCAAGGGTTTAATACTCACAAGGCCTTGAACTTCTCACTGATGAGTTTTATTCAAGCTCAATTTTAATAGTAATAGCATTTTTTTTTAGTGGAAAGGCACTTAAATTTGCATAGTAAATATGCTGTATTTATAGCAACAAAAACAAAACGATGCTTTATAGAGCCAACTGCAATATTTATAAGCTGCTCACTGTGTCTGCCAGCCACATACCTGCTTCCTGGGAAGGGGGGAGGCGCATCATAAGGTGGTCTTCCCAAATTCCTCTGTGTTAAAGTGGGCCAGCCAGGCTGGCTTTGTGATATAAATGTAATACTGAAGAAGTCATTGGCAAAAGACACCCATCAAGCTAGTCAGAGGGAGAAAGTACCACTCATGCTAGGTAGATCATTCAATCCCTTCCCACCCAAATGGAGTTACCTCCACCTTCTGAGAAGTTGTTGTAATTGGGCTACCCACCCAGAATGCCAGATGCTACTCAATGGTTCAGCTGTCTGGAGCTGGCAATGGACATGGTGGGTAAACAGGAAATTACCTGCCAAGCTTTGTGACTCTGAGTCTTTGGCTTCCCTCCATGCACAGCTGTCCGTTGCTTGGGTTTGGACACCTGCATGGACTGCAAAGCATGCACCACAGCATGAACAGCATTGTAGATGCTATAACTGAGAACAGTCATGCTTGTTTCAAAAACAGATGTAGGAAGATTCTTAATCTTCTCCTCCCCTGTGCAGGTTTTTTCAGACTGTTTATTTCCTTCAAAATTGGGGAAGACACAATCAAATGCCTGTTCCCAGAAGTTTCTGATGAAACCATCTTGTTTTGCTGTGGAAAGACTTCTAGTTTCAAGAAATTCCTCAAACCCTGACACATCCTTCGAGCTAATTGCAAGTGATAGAGCACCATGAAGAACATTTATATCCCAGTGTTTATGTATGGAAATAGAGGTGAAGTCCATTTGGGCTGTCATAATCCAAATTTTTGGTTTCCATGGTATGTCTTCTACTTCGGATAACTGGAGAAACATTCTTAAAACACTCATTGTCTTAATTTCGCCATATAAGACTGTTACATGAGCTGTGCTCACCATGACAACATTGTACAAGTTAACAGCTTCATTAATCATATTGAGAAAGTCACTGTAAAAAGTCACTGTTGGGAATCTTTCTATGAAGTCAAAGCAGATACCCCGGTGAGAAAATGTGGGAAGCACATCATGTACAAACCTCTCTCCATTGTCATCATTCACAAAAAGAACTCCAATCCACGTCCACCCAAAATGCAGCAGTAACTGGAGAATACCCCTGTGCTGATGGACAGCATTTGGAAATAGTGGTCGGAAGAAGACAGCTTGGGTTTCATCATTCCAGACTGGGGCAGAACCATATGTGAGCTAAAGACAACAAAGGAAAATGTATGTAAAGTGTGTGCACGTGTGTGTGTCTCTGCACAGAGATAAAAAATTTAATGCCTATTCCAGAAATCCAGAAACTAAAATGAGCAAAGCATTTTAATGTCCATGTTCCTAATATATTTTTACATCATTTCAAATACTGCTATTTGCAGCCACATATTTTCCTGCTTATATTTGCAAGAGATGCAAAAGAATCAGGATAGGTGTGTGAATCACTTGGTTCAATTCCTATGCCCTGGGTGCATACCTTACCTGTGGAATTTTGTAGATGCACAGTATGTTTGCCATGTGGAGACAAATGTCAGGTCCTCCAATAGCCGCTACTGGGATGCTCTCAAAACTACACTTGTAGTTAGGGATGAATCTGCCCCACGTGGAGAGAAGTTCCATTGAGGCCAGGTAGGTCCAGCTCGGACTGAAATGGCTGTTGTAGATGTGGAAGCCCAGGGTGAGATTGGGTAAGATCTGACTGTTTTCATTGACCTCCTTTACCGCAAAAACCAAGGCCAGGATGTGCTGATAGCTCTGAGTCAGGACCCTGGAAAAATAGGTACACGCTATTCTAGAGTGCATTGACTTCAGAGTATAATATCTGCTATATTTCAATCCAATGCCAGTTTTATAAGCATATTACAATTCTCACTGCATGTCACAATAAAATAGAACGTTTGGCTGATTTTGCTTTTGTAAATGCAAAATAAAATTGACCCATGCACTTCTGGCCAACTGACTTCTCTGGACCCCAAGAAAATCAGCCTTGCTTTGCAAGCTCCATTTTAATACATGCATACCCAGTATCCCCAAGTAGTCTGTCAAGCATCAGGTTGGTTGTAGATTCATTGTGTTGTGGCCCCACTGAAAACAAACCAATAAGTAAATCTTATTTAAGTCCCATAGATCTCAGTGGAAATGAAGGATCATAGAAAAGCAGAGATGGCTGGCAGGTCCAGCCCTTGTTGCAGGACACCAGTTTACACCATCCCACTCAGATGACTTCCAACTTAGAGCATTGGTAACCTTTTTCATATCTTTAATTGAAGATTAAATATTGCCATGAAAGGGTTTGACCACCATTTTGCTGACATATCATCACTGTGTCAGAATGCTGAAACTTGGTCCAGACATGATATAAAACATCCTGATTTTGCAGGGTGGGTATATTATAGCCTTTTGTAAGCCACCTTGAAAATAATTTCTTTGCAACCCTAGGTAAAAATATTCTAACTGCATATATAAGTGACTTACACAAGCACATCAAGCAGTTCCTGAGAAGGATGTTTAGCAAAGCTTATTGGATCTGAAAACCTGTAGACTTGAGAAATAATGCCAGTAATGCTGAGGTCTCCAGGCTGGTGATACTTGTGAAGGATAGGAAGAGGACTGTGGATGATGCATTTACCAACAGGTGCCTTGCACTTCCCATGAGCCACCAACAATGCCATGAACACCAGCAACCTGCATGGAAATTGTCCTTTCATGTACCAACAGACCTGTTCCCACATTGTTATATGAGCATCCACTGATAGTACCACATCACAGAATGTGCTCCATGGGTTTGAAGCCAGGGTTTTACAGTGTTACATATCTGTGAGCAAGTGGAGAAAGCTTCATCTGTTCCTTGCCAAGCTCTAAATCAGGCAGCGGGTAGTAATAGCATCTTTTGCTCTTGCATCATAGTTTTGTCTGTAATGACTTTGACTCCCTACAGATTTGGAAAGAGATGGTTCATCAGTAATGATAGGAGAGATAATCACATATTCAGAATCTTTCTTCCCTGTCCCATTTCAGAGGAAATCATGTATGTCACTTGAACTTTGAGCATCTAATGGTCTCCACCCCAGGAAAAGTGCCCAAGAATTACAGAGAACCAGGACTGAATCAAAACTTGGCCACACCTTTACTGATTGCAGGTTAAAGTATGGCATGGCTTGGGAATGGATCATTGGTTGTCTTGCCTGCTGGCTGCTGAGAGGCGCAAGGGGGTAAGGATGATCTACACAAGCATGGGTTGATTATGACCCTGTGGGAGCCAGCTGCATTGAACCAATGCCGCTACATCAAGCATTGGTAAGGGACATCTTACATATTCATGTAGGACAGTTAGCAATTTCATATTAGGCATTCACCCTGGAGAACTCCAGATGGATACCTGGGCTCATAATGCCCTTTCCCTTCAGAGATGGCATGGAAAGACTCTTTCCAACCCCATGGACAACATTCCTCCAGGCTTTCCTGTCCTCCACCATCCCCCAGAGAATACCCAAGCCCACACCCCCTTTCCAGTGACCCCATCTAGCCACCTCAACATCTGCTGTCCCCTTCCCCTTATGCCTTCAGTCATTCCCAGTATCAGGATCTTTTCCAATGAGTCCTTCCTTCTCATTTGGTGGTCAATGTATTTGAGCTTCAGCTTTAGTAACTGACCTTCTAAAGAGCAGAGTTGATTTCCTTTACAATCAACTGATTTGACCTCTTTGCAGTCCAAGCGACTCTCAGGAGTCTTCTCCAACACCACAATTCAAAAGCATCAATTCTTCAGCGCTCAGCCTTCCTTATGGTCCAACTCTCACAGCCATACCTTACAATTTATCTTTATGATTCTGTCCAAGGGGTTTTCATGGCAAAGATACTGGAGTGGGTTGCCATTTCCTTCTCCAATATATCACCTTTTGTCAGAGCTCTCTGCTATGACCTGTCTGTATCCGGTGCCCCTGCATGACATAGCTCATAGCTTCATTGTGCTATGCAAGCCCATTTGCTGCAGCAAGGCAGTGATCCATGAAGGGGTTAGAATGAGAGAAAGTGGTTAAAAATAACTAATAACTAAAAATAATTTAACATAGCTGTCACTTTTGTGAAGGCTATAATGAGGAGAAGAAATAACAGTAGCTCCAATGGACTAGGCTCTACTACCATTGGATTTTCTCCAGCAAAGATTTAACATTCTCCCCCAGTAGTTCCTGGAGTATACACAAGCCAATGGCATCCTTCCAGTGATCACAAAATGTCTGTGTCTGAACACACTCAGACTTCATGAGACTTTTTGGGAGAATCCTTTAGACTTTTCCTCTAAAATATTTTGTAATTCCAAAAGGCACAGGAGGACCAGATGCAAAGAGCCAGGAACGAGCATGGATCACATACTGACAAGGCAAAGTTCAAAAAGGCAGAGATTATCACAGATGAAAACAGAAACTGAAATCCATGAAATGCTTTCTTTCAGAGAAGTACAGGAAAGCAAGCAAGCAAGAAAGAAAAGATAGCTTAGTGTTTATAAGAGCATTAGAAGTTTTTCTGTGTTCTAATGGAACAAATTTAGAGAAAGTAAGTAAATTACTATGGGAAAGCAGATCCCACAAATCTTGTGAGCAAGATAGCAAGCTGAGTTCATGTCGTATTGAAATCTACAACCGGTTTCAAATTAAATTAAACATGCTAAACTTGCTACCTCTTTCCATTTTCTCTTGCACAATACATGAATGTAAAAAACTAAGTGAAAGTATAGCTAGATTAATCAAGGCACATACATCTCAGAAGTCTGATTTATTAATCAAGTCTGGAATTTCTAACATGGGTGAAGTGTGGCCATACATTACAAACTATTTTATTATGGCCAGAATGATTTTTCTTTTTTTTAAGTTTCCGTTTTGGTTTCAGATGCAGAAGGGGATGACAAAACCACTTCTTCCCTTTTGCTGTTCTTAACTCTGTCGCTCCTAGCTAAAAAGAGAAAAAGGGAAAGCTAAGTTCTTCCCCCCACATTTC